ACTTGTACTTTTCTTAATCTCACCGATTCAATTGTATTGGAATGTTTTTTCATGGATAACCTGACAGAATAATTTTTTGTAAAAAGTATTTATTGTGAATTTTTAATTTAGCTACAAAACTTCTCCATTATAAATTTTTTGGTTTAAGCTATTTTGTTATAAATATTACTTTAAGTATTATTTAAATAATATTTTTTAGATTTTGTTATTTGGCATTTTTTTTTCAAAAGTGTATTGTTTAAAAATAAATGTTTGTAACGTTTTTAAATATACTTTCATTTTTCCATTAATTTTGTCAGTGTAAAATTCTACCCAAAATTATTCAAAATTTTAAGGTTTTATAACACAATAACCCCACGTATTTCCAACGTTTTATAATAAAATAATCCAACGTATTTCCAACGTAATACAATAATTCCACGTACTTCCAACGTTTTATAATACAATAATCCCACGTATTTCCAACGTTTTATAATACACAAATTCCACGTATTACCAACGTTGTATAATACATAAATTCGACATATTTCCAACGTTGCACAGACCGGTATTTGGACCTAAAACGTGGCCAAAAATCAATTTTGTTAATTTTTACCGCCAGATCTAAGATTTTGTCTTAAAGAAGTCAGATAATATGGCTATCTTTTGGGGTAGTTGCAACTTGAATTGGCCGTCCCAGTCCGCTGTACCAGCAGCTAGAAGCTAGCGCTCTTTTACATCGTACGTCTTTGTTCGCGACACTCTACAAAAAAACAAATTTTCGCTGGGTTGTTTCCTATTTTAAAAGAGATTTTAGTGAAAGAAATTAATATGGATGTCGTCAATTAAGTAAGGTATGTACAATATTTTAAGCAACATTTCATTTGTGTTATAATCTTTATTTATACATATACTTATCTACCTAAAATGCTTAATTTTTCTCGTTTTTTTAAACAAACACTTATGTTTTTAAATATCGGCAACCCCTCGCGACATCCGACCTACATTTTATTAAACTTTAGGAAATCTAGAATACATGTACCCATCAAAAACATGCACAAGTTTCAGTGTTGCCAACCGGAGGGAAATTTCCCGTTTTGCGGGAATTTTCAACCCAAAAGGGAAAAAGGGAAAAAGTTAATTCAAAACGGGAATTTTAGTCTATCGTTATTCTTTAAAATATCTTAAAAATTATTTAAAGCATAAAATATGTTTAATAATCAGAGGCTACTAAAATATTCCCCGACATACGTTCACTATCGGTCCGTATTTCGGGAATCCCTTTCGAAGTCTATACAGCGTATATCATAGAAAAAGGATATTAAACCGAATAGATAGTTCGTTTCTCTTTCTCTCTTAATCAGAGTATGATTTGTCATCCTTGTCTTCAGCCTTACTTACTTGATTCTATACAGTCTGTATACACAGCAAACGAAAAATTATAGAAGTGTATAGGATGACTCCGCGTTTGAATATCAAATCTTAAAGTTTTATCATAACTGTATTGAATCGTGCTTTGTTTTTATATTTTTCGGCTCTATACCTATGCACGACTATATTTAAAGTCAAACTCAATGGTGTCTTACAAGATACATTATTTTGATTTTCTATATTCAACAGAGGAGTAGAAACTCGACCCTGTCGAATGGTGCAGTCATATATGTCTCTAGAAATTATTAAAAAAGGGTTCAGTCCAATGGTGCAGCAACTTCGGATTCCTATTCTCCTCAGAGACATAGAAACTCAAGCTTTTCGAATTTTACTGGCAATGATTTTCGTTAATGTCCCCGAGAATTATACAAAAACAGCGCAATGCAATATCGCAACGGTTTCGACTTCTCTTTACTCTACCAAGTTATAGAAACTGGAGTCTCTCTAATACTGTTCTAGTCAATATTTCTGAGAGTATAAAAAGAGGGTGTAATATTGCAAGAAGTTTTGATCTTTTGATGGATGAATTTTCTCATTTCTCCATATGATTTTGTTGAAAATAGTTCCTTTCTTTGGTTCCTTTGTCTGATTTTTATTTACCGTAACAACTCAGGTATGTAAAGCACAGAGGATATGATGTTAAGTATATTTATGTATTATATAAAGTACCTATATTTGTATTAAAAATTTAAGAGGTTATGTTGAAAAATGATCGATATGCTATTTAGTAATTTAGTAATTAGGTCTGTTGGTAGACCCTGCACTATCTCCACTGGTATATGTTAATTTTGTAATATTTAAATCTGGTTGATAAAAAAGTACACACCAGTGCAGGTTATTGTAGCATCTACGAACAAATGAATTAATGGCCCATTGGCAATTATTCCTTTAGGAAAAATATTCAACACAGCTTAATTAATTAATAAAATGAAAAAAATCACAATCATGTCGTATATAGTTTTTTTTTAAGCATAAAATAATTTTTATATTAAGTAATACTAGTTCAAAAGTGAAATTACGACCTCTATACTGTGGAGAGTATTGAAACGCTCGACTGACGAATACAACTCTATACCGTAGGGAGATTTAGAAATCGATATTCAAACGTGGCGTCATCCTATACACCTCTATAATTTTCCGTTTGCTGTGTATGAAGGGCGAAATCTTTAAGAATAAACAAAATTAAAATTTGTATATTTTCTTTTATTTTTAGTTAGTTTTTATATATTTTATATTTGTTTTTCTTAATTAAAATTATTAAATGCTTATAGATATTTAATTTTTTTTTATTTTCAAAAATTAGAGGGGGAGGGAATTTTTTCATAAAAGTGGGAATTTTTAAAGTAAGTGGAGGGAAAAAACCTACTCAAAGGTTGGCAACACTGACAAGTTTGCACATCACGGAAAAATGTACCCTTGAAAACAGACACTTTAGTGCGATTTTTAGGTAAATGTATTTTTTATTTTTGAAAGGGCACAAAAACTTTAATATAGATATGTTTAATTTTAATATTTTTATTGCATTACTTGCATGTAAGTAGCTACTTTATAATTTTTTTATAAATAGGTAAATTTGTGAATACATGTTTTTTTTATTTCTAGTAAAAGTACCTACTATCACTTGTATACCTTTAAAAATGTGTTTTTTAGTCATTTGCTACCCTTTTGATAAAGAAAAAGTGCCCAAATATTTTTGGCCACGTTTTGGGTCAAAATACCGGTCTGTGCGTTGTATAATACACAAATCCAACGTTACACGTTACACGTTTATAATACGTAAATTCCACGTTTTTTATAACATAAGAAACTAACGTAGTCATATAACGTTATAAACCAGCACATTTCAACAAAAAATTATACATAAAAGTTAGGTTTTTCCAACTCAGGAAAAACATTGTTTCTCCGTAAAATTTCTACTAGGGAGTCGTAAAAGTAAACACACGAAATCATGCGGAATTTCCCGATGTACTTCGAGTACTTCGATTCTTCGAAGGTAGGTACTTCTAGTACTTCGGAGGTACTTTTGAGAAAAATGATAATTTTTTGAATCAGCGCACGCAATTTACCACCAACGGAAAATTTTATTTTGCTGACCTGTGTAATAAAGGTGTTCTGGAAAATGTTATAAGGGCGCCCATACCTTTGGTAGTTCATTTGACTTTCCTTAATTTCCATTAGGTAAATAAGTAGATAAGTAGATAATATCTACTAGATATCTCTTTTTGTAAAATTGACAATTGTAGGTAGGTACAATATTTTTATGAATTTAAACAGTAAAAAACAAAATAGGTATGTAGATTTTTTACTCAAATATGATTTAGATATTTGCATAAAGAACCAGACTGAGTGACTTTTCATATGAATAATTTAGTGACCGATTTAAATGGTAATGTTGGGTAGGTAATGTTTACATTTTTCTTTGAAAAATATATTCGTTTAGGAATTAGTTCCAAAATTTAAACCGTACATTCGTCTTATACAATGATTTATTTATATCTCGAGCTAATAATGTCCGAGTTAAATAGGTACTTATTCTAATTTACAATCTAATTGGACTCCAATTGGATGCAGTTTAAACTATTTAAATTTTAAGTTTTAACAGTGCTAATTATTTGGATTGTAGATTTACAACAAAATACAACATACATTAAGATTTATAAAATGTTGAACCTGGCTGAACTGCATCTGGTTAGCCTTGTTTGGGTCATCGTCCGCGGTCAGTGGTTTTGACCACACTTACTACCATTATAATAATTATTTAAAAAATCGCGCAAATACATGTATTCCAATTAAGTGAAAAATTATAATAGCACTGTTTTTTATTGTTTAATAGTGCTTAATTTTAAATAATTCAATATAGTTGGCATCTTTTTATTTTAAGGTTGGCATATGTATATATAGAACGTAAGTTAAAACAATCCAAATTGCGAGAGCCTAAAATATTTTAAGAAAAACAATTAGAATAAAATAAGGACGTCTATTTTAAGAACGAGGTGCAAGGAATGCATTAAAACGATAATAACGCTTAGTTTAATTCAAGACGATTTATTTGCATTGCCGTATTGTTTTGACTAAATCAAAACATGTCAAAATTTTGCACAGTGTCTGACATTTTCCATAAGACGCCGATGATAATTTGATGTAATAAAGTAAGTTTAGAATTGTTAGAAATCTGTGTACTTACTCTGTTGTTCGCCGAATCCGTTTCTGTACGCTGTCTTTTGGTATGAGGCCCATCTCCATTGAACGCCATTTTGAAACAAACAAACACTTCGAAACTCAACTTGCCGCTACTACGGCACGCGCAGAACTGTCAACTTTCTGAGAAAGAAGCGAGTGCGCGAAGATTTTCGATTGTTTGGTACTAGGGACATCTATTGGTATATTCGAAAACCCCACTCTCGCGCCAATGGAATCTAGATTTCTGAGCCAAATCAATTATTGATTTTTTCATTATTCATTGCAGAGCACAGAACAGAAGAGGCAGAGATAAAGAAGGTTGAATTGATTTAATGTTTGATCTTCAAATAGGTTCTGTCCAGAAAAGATAGGTAACAAAAAATAAAAGACTTGTTTTATTCTTAAATCTATTTGCTTGATCATAATATTAAAACAAATTAAAGGGCAAAAAGAAAATGCGTTTCAGGAACTTTCCCACCAAAATTAAGTTTTCCAGCTTGTGGCATATAAACTCTTCTCATAACTTCTTTTATTTCGTTGACACTTATTGGGGGCTGTCCACTGTAGACTCTGCTATAATCTGGATTACTTCCAGTTGAATTAATGAATCTAAAATCTCCATTAAACATTGTTGCATTATAATAGGATCCAGTTAAATGTTGCATGGGATCCATACTGAACTTTCCATCCATTCTAACTAGAATAGCATAGTCCGTAATTTCTGCAACAGTCTGGTAAGCATAGTATGATAGAACGTCTAGTGCTTCTGGCTTAAAAACTACTTCATTGTTAGGATCTATCCATAACCGTAATTTTTCCATGTTTCTAACAGTGCTTTTACTACTAAACGACACACTTCTTGCTTTACAGAATTCAAGGTATTTTTGTTCATCTAATGCTTGTGATATTCTATCAGCTCTTAATTGTCTTTGAAATTTGATTTCATCTACTTCATTCAGATCTGTAAATTCGCCAGTTTCATCAATCATTTCTATAAATTTTAACAACTTGCATTTGGGTTTATCTCCATCCACATCAGTTATGTTGGATTGTAATTGGCTTAACATATTTTTTGTTTCCTTGTTATGAAGGTACTGGACAAACCTTCTCATTTTGTGTTTGTTGTGTCTCATCAGAAATAATAGTTCTTCACCCTCCAATACATTTTTTTGCACATATTTTAGAGCTTCTTGGACAATTAATTTTAATTGTTTAATAGTAATACTTTCAACCAGTCGGACTGTTTCAGGATTTGGTTTGTGACTGTCGCCAAAACCAAACATCATTAAAGAAATTTCATTGTAAAACGAAACTTTTGATTGCGTTGATTTTGGATCCATGTTTACCTTTAGAAATGTAAATAAACAAAAGAAGGTAATTAAGGTTAAGTTCTTGTGCTAAAAATTTGGTTAATAGGATTTACTATCTATGGTTAATAGTCTTAAGTTTTTGCCAAGTATTCGCCAGTTTTCGCCGTAAACCTATTTATTTGAACTATTTTAAAATTTTACAAATAAAAAACAAACAATTCACATGTTTACAACATTAGCAGCATTGCCAAATTGTTTTGTTTTGTTAAAATTTTAATTTATACTATCTAAATATTATAATAAGAAAAACAGCAACTAATTCATATATACTTTCTTTTATCATCAACAGTTTATTTAGAGTTTATTAGTAAAATAAATAATAAATCGCGTTAATTTTATATCCACTTGGCATCAACGTTACTACCAACCAAATAACACTGCCAATAATAAACAAAAATCACCAACCACGTTTTGACAGTTGTTTATTTTCTGAATTTTAAAATACACCGAAAATTTTGATTAAAAAAAATGGTTATCGTTAATTCATTTAATCAACCTGAATCAACAATTCGTTTACAACAAGCCGATGTGAGAGCAGTATTGGATAAAAAAGATCTTGGTTTAGGAACGTTATTTATTTCTGACAGGTTAGAGCGTTTGATGAACGTTTAAATATTTTATGAAATTGATTTTTTAATTTTAGCACGTTATCTTGGCAGGAAAAAGATGATAAAGGTTTTTCGATCGATTTTCCGGATATTTCTCTGCATGCAATATCCAGGGATAGAAATTTACACCCTCGTGATTCAATTTATATTATAGTAGATTCTCATTTTTGCCTGCAAGGTGATGATGTACAGCCACAAAATGGAAACGGTGATGAGGGAGATAGTGAAGCTTCAGAAGCTGATATTTCTGAGTTAATTTTGGAACCACAAAACCCATTAACCATACCAGCTTTATATGAAACATTAAAAATTTGTCAGGTGGTTATTTAAAAACCTTGTTTGTATTATTTTTAATTATTTTAACTATTTAAGGAGTTAAATCCAGATCCTGCAGATGTTGATGATGAGGATGATGATGATCTCTATGCAGATGCAGAAATGGACGAAGATGAATATGTTATCAGAGAAAATAGAGGGGCTGGAGATCAAGGTGGAAAGTTATTAAAGGTTTTTCATTTAATATAATTTTTGTTTTAGATGTCAATGATTTATCAAGGAGACTGCAAAATAACTCAGTTAACATACAGTATGATGCAGGTGATGACAACCAGGATGAGGAATATGAGGATGCTGATTAAAACCAAATGCTTAATTTAAAATTTTTGTATTAATCTTTAAGTTTTTTAAAATAAAATTTTAATTATAAATCCTCTTTTAACATTTATCCAACACGTTTCAGTGTAATAAAATCTTCTTGTAAAACTCCTCCTGTACTTAAAAAATCCTCTTGTTTAGAACTTAACCCAGTCAAAAATCAACAGTTATTTATCTGACTTTTTTTGGTCCAAATATTAAATCTGCATCTGGTGCTCCTTTAGGATGTTGGTATTTTTTGCGTTCCCTATTCAGATTTTGAGTTACTGGTCTATTTTGTTGTATCATCTCCTGATAGTCTTCTTCTTCCAAACGTTCCGTAATATTTAACGTTAATCGCTTCACTCTTTCCTTTTCTTCTTTTTGGGCTTGCTCTTGATCTCTCAAATTCTGGGCCAGCTCAGAATCCACGTCAGCTTCAAAAGTCTTGTATTGCTGCTTATTACCTTTTCGAACCATCAAAACAAAGCCTATTTTATTATTTTCGGCTTCCGCAGTTTCCTGCAGTTGATCATAAGTTTTCTTATTGGATTTTAAAACAACAGGAACCGAAATATCTACATTTCCTGCTTTGACGGGCTCCCGCATTCGTTCCTGTATATTTTCAGAGACCATTTTGTCCAGTGCGCTCAGGAAATCTATATCTTCAGCACAATCAACCTTTTTAGGACCTTTTGGAATCGCGCACGATTCTGATACTTGTTCAGATTCACTAACATAATGCTCACCTGTGAAAAAATAAAAGTTAATTATGTATGTGTAGATTTTTTTAAGTTTTAACCTTCATCATCTGAACCTTGTGTGTGATCAACAGTTTCATCTTCTGTAGCTGTATCATCAGTAACAGGAGCTGTAATTCCATCTGAAACTTCATCATCATGTTCCTCTGTATCTGTTTCATTAATTGTTTCCAAACCATCCTCATCTTTATGTTCATTTAATTCTGCAGTAAGTTTTTCTAAAAATTTATACTGGTCAACAAAATGAAATTGTTTCTAGGGTAATTTGGGTGAGCTGATTTAAAAAATGAACATCATTTTGCTTAATTAGCTCTCGTTTTCGCGATATTGCACAAAAAACCTTTTTCTCGAAATGCAAACAATATAATTTTTATATATGGGGAATTCCACGTGAATTCGACACGAAAAAAACCCATTTCGAAATTCCATGGCAATTTTTCCATGGGTTCCTCGACTCAAAATAAAAATTTAATTTTAATTTTAGCTCGGTTTGTCAATTTTTTTTGGAGATATGATTTTTTAAATTTTGAGCGAGTTCGACGAACGACCAATCATTTTCCGTGGCTTGAAACAAGCTATTTGAAATAAATATTTTTGATGCTGTGGCATATCGGCACACTATGATTTTTTTCTTTAAAAACTAAAAAACCACCTGTTTGTGTTTTTTTATATTTTTTTGTTTTTAATACAAGTTTTTTTATCTATATTATAGATCGTGGCTATCGAAAAATTAATATTAAAATTTTTTTTGATATTACAAAATGTCCAAAAGTGAAAAATATCAAAATTATTCAAATTAAAAATTCCGAAAAAATTATTAATTTTTTGATAGCCACGATCTAATTAGATATTAATATTAATATAGATAAAAAAAATTGTATTCGATTAAAGATTAAGTTATGATCGATGATATATTGGCAAAATCGTTTATATCATGAAAATTTCCAAAAACAATTGACAAACCATGCTAAAATTAAAATTGAATTTTTATTTTGAGCCAGCAGGGTTCGCAGCGACCGGGAAAACCGGGAAAAGTAAGGGAATATAAAATGAGTCTAAAAAGTCATGGAAAAGTCAGGGAATTTAAAGAAAAAACGAAAAGTCAGGGAATTATCTGTAATTAATACTAATACTTAAAATAATAATAATAATATAAAAGAAAATAATATTTACTTAATACTTATGATTTAATATAAAGGAAATGCTTGGGCAATTTTAATGTAAACTACCCAATCGTGTAACTGTCAATTTGTCTTTGACAAAAGTCAAAGTAACATTACAAGTCTTTCTCGTAATTGTGAAAAATTGTTTAATGACTGAAATCAAGGTTCTGGAAAACAAAAAACAAAAATTAACTGAAGGAACCAACCATGAAGTGGACAGTATCAATAGACGTCTACAAATATTGAGAGAAAAAGTTTAAAATAGTTATTTGACTTATTTTTGTATTTTGTTTTGTTTTTATTTACCAGAAAAATGCTCTATGTTTTAAAAGATCTAAAAAAAGTTTTGTTTTTGAATTACATATATTATAATATGAATTATGCTATAAGTATTCATTTTTGTTTTTATGGTCTGTTATTAAAGCTGAAAAGTATAAATTATATTTTTTATTTTTTTCCTATTTGCCTGAATATCAATATCAATTTTTGACACCTTCCACAGTCTATGGAAAAAGCTTGAGAAAGTTGTGGAAAACCTAGAAAAGTCTGGCAAGGGTTTTTTTCGTGTCGAATTCACGTGGAATTCCCCATATATTTTGTTAATCAAATTCTTTAACCCAAAACACTAAAAAAATAAATTTAAATGAAATGAACAAAATTAAATTGGCATCCAAAACAACCGAGTATGTCAAAATTTATATTAACATGCTTGCTCCCTGAGCTTGTAAAAGACTTTTAAAAGACTTTAAAAAAAAATCTGTGAACATAATTCATAAACGCTTAATGATCTAATATTTCTTCGAAAAAATCATGCTTGGCATTTATTACATTTATTTTAGTGGTGACTCATGAGAATACAATTGTATTTATTTTTTTAATATTTTGTTAAATTGTCAGTTTTTTTTTAATAAAACTCGAATTAATACATATTTTTATTTATAGATAATTAAAATTTGTTGACTACAGCAAAGATAAACATTCGGTTGTATCAAAACAATATGCCACATTTTTTTATCGGCGAAAAAAAATATCGTTATATTTTATTAATTGAAATATTGTAGAATTCTACAATATTTCAATTAATAAAATAAATAGGTGCAAACGTAGTATCCTTTAAGAACTACGTAGTCGGCATAGTGTTTATATTTTTAAAGAATATTAAAATAACTAATTTTCTTGGTGGTAATTACTGTTTATCTGTATTATTAAAACATAGAGATGGGAATCGGAAAGTTTCCATTTTAAGGAAACTTTCCGTTTTGGAAAGTTTCCAATTGGGAATTTATTTTCATTTTGAAAGTTTCTTTTAAGCTACCGGAAACATTTGAATAAGAATTTAATGTGTGTTAATTTAAAGCAGAACAGAATAAGAAGTATAAATAATGTAAGTTAGAAAGTTAGAAAATAAAAACAATAAATAAAGTTAAATCATTCTTATATTTTTGTTGTTTATTTATAGGCATAGCACAATGCCAAGAAAAAAATCTAGTGTTTGAATTATTTTTTACTTTACTTTTTACTTTTCAATATTCCTATATATTAGTAACTTTGTCCCTTTTAATTTTTTTACGTAATATCTAGGATTTACTAGCAGTGAATTTCTAATAGTAAACATTTTATTTTTATTTTGTAGGTTTCAGTATACAATAGGAATATTCCAAAGTAAAAGATACTAAAAATAGTATTGCAGTTACACTCTTTTATTTTTTTCTTAATAAAATTTGACAAAAATTTAATGTGGTATATAATTTTGCAAATCCCTGGCATAAAAAAATATTTTCGCAATAAAAATTTTTTTTTTGAAACTTTCGGAAAATTTCGGGAATTTTCGATGGAAAATTTCCGGGAATTTTCGTCAAATGGGAATTTTTCCATCTCTATTAAAACATAATTAAAATAATTCATTTAGGCCAAAAATAATTATTCAAAAATAGTAGCAGTTTAATTTTAATAAGCGTGTTTTAAAAAAGACCAAAGAATGACCCTTCCAAAGGATCTTTTGACTTATTTTAAAAACAGATAGTCTTCCAAGTGAAGTTGTTAAAAGGCTTTATGAAAAAAATATACCAAAAGTGGCAAAAATCTCAAAGAGTGATCGGTTCCTAACAGATCAAAAATTATGGCTTCAAAATTGCCCTCCTAGATTCTTTAAAAACTTTAATCTTTGGCCACTTTAGTTGAACACGAGACAGATCCAGGCTGTAGTCATGGTCGCCTGCAATATAAAAACAAAAAGAAGACGAGTAGAAAATTTACTAGCTTCTCATAGCTTCCAGGAACTGTCTTTTGCGGCTCAATAATCTACTCTTATTATGAGCTTAGAAAAACACCGTAAGCCTGAACAGGGACAATCATTATCGCCACAAGTGTTAGCTCTGTATTTAGATTTAGAACTATCAGAAAGAAAATATTATTTGCTAAGGTCAGTGGTTAAAGCACTGCATCCAGACTGGTTTCCTAGTTATTATAAAGTAAAGAAGTATCGGAAAAAAGTGTTGAGTCTACTGAATCTGTGGCCGAAGTAAAGTTGCAAAAGATATTAGAGTGACTAATATTTTAAAGACCGTTAAAAATATTACTTTATTAAGCTCCAATACAAACTTGAGTCTTTATTACATATTATGAGTATGAGTATGAGTATAATTATAAAGACGTATAACCACTGGTTTAACCAGCCCCATTGCCTCATCACTCCCGGACCCCGCAAAGGCCTCTGTTACCTTACGCCGATTTTTTTTCGCCACCAGCACCGACACGGCTTCACCCGTGCTTGCTGGGTGCGAATGTCCATTGCGTCCCGTACTGTACCCTATTTGGGGCTCGAGAGCAAAATGCCAATAGTTTTAATAGCAATTCCCCGGTTCGCCGGGCCGATGCTATACGCCCAGTAGGATCATGGAGGTTGGACGGAAGGGACAGACATTTTGGTGTTTAGGAGACAATTACGCCGACGCAAATAAGCATACGACGCGGGAAGTTAGTATTACTTCAAACATTTGCGATTACTGTTTGGAGTTGGAGAGTTATTAGTTCGCTGCAGGGGCCTAGTTTACTGGGCGTGGTCGTGCAGATGGCCCTTTCCTCCCTTGGTTATCCTCTTTTGTTTGTCTCGTGAAGAGCATCAACCGCCCAGAAAGTGTCACTTTTCACTTTTACTTCAACACTTCCCTGACTTCCTTTACTCACTGTAGTTGTTACACTATAGATTATTTGCACTTTATGAGTAATTATTGTGAGTTTTGTTTGTAAGTTTTAAGAGAGCGATACGGTAAGATGCGACTAACTTCGACGAGTAATCGAACGTGACTGAGTGTTTATTACATATTAAATAAATTATAACATGATGTAAACCTACACTAAAAATTATGTTAAATATCACAAAATTTCAACAAAACAGAAAAGAAAATTGATAACAGAATTGTTTCTGATGCAATCGATTACACATTTTTAAAAGCAAGTTTTGCTGTCTGTGTGATTAACAAATGTATAAATTTTATTATAAAAACGACACGTTCTAAAAATTGGAGAAACATATAATATATTAGTAGAGCCACTCTGTGGATAAAACACACATGATTCTCTCACAGACAGTATTGGGGACAAATTTCAAAAAATATACAAATAATTATCTTATAGTTAAGAATGCTATAAAATCAGTGAAAAATAAAGTATCTCTCTTCTAAACTAAGGAGTTTAATACTATGACATTATTAAAACCTTGATCTGGGTAAATACCAAATGATTTTTATATACTCGCTCAATTGCTATTGAGTGTTTATATACAAGCATACTCCAATTTAGATCTAACAAAGGCGTTAAAAAGAGTTCTAAAACAATATGTGTTCTCAAAATGTTAACAGTTTTAATTATGAACCCACACATTTTTAAAGCAGCAATATGGTTTGCAAATTTTAATTCAGCATCAAATATCCATATTGCTTAACCTACATCTTTATCCTTTTATCCATTTAATTAAAATCGGACAAAAATGGTTCATGTTACAACACTGAATTTTTAAAATTGTCCAATTTTGGCTAAAAACAATTTTATTTTGTTAAACACAGGATTTTTAAGAGGGAAAACTTTATGAATGTGTACATTTTTTAGCTGTATTGCCAATGATCATCCTTGGTTAAAGTATTTGATTAACAAAATATATACGAACTTAAATGTTTGCATGTCAAAAAATTCTAAAAACAGCAAAATGATGTCCATTTTTAGAAAAGTTTTTAGCCATCATGTGGCAAAGTTGCTTTCAACCAATGTTATCCAAAACAATTTTATTAGGACCTCTTACCTATTCCAAGTGATTTTCTGATATTCTCCACTTCAGCCTGTGCCTCTTCATAACTTTGAACCAGTTTTAATTTTGGTCTTAATGTAGTTAGGGTGTCTTTAAATATGTGCTCTAAAATAGGCGGAAACGATTCTTTGAATGATTCCTTCCATAAAGATTTCTTGTACCAATAGTAGGCTTGGAGAAAAATTAGATAGTAATCCAATTTCCTTTTGCTAGTGCCACTGCTAAAGTATGTGCCTACAAGAATATTATTTGCAAATAAACTATAAAATAAATATGTCATATTTTTTACCGCATGTTTCCAGTAAAACACAAGCCAACCTAATCCTGAACAGCTGATTAGGAGGATCTAAAGGAGATGGATCATTGGGATCCATGGAAACTCCAAAGGTAATTAATGAATAAAGTACTTTGAAAACATCTGAACTTTCAACCATTCTGTAGTTGTAAAGTTCGCCCAAAAATTTAATGTGTGCCACTCTTCTTTGATTGAATTTTGGAAGATTAACCTCCATTCCCAACCGGATGTCTTCCAAAACACCATCCACCACTCTTGTGCCAACTTCTTCTTGGTACGCCACCAAGCCAGCTAATAAGTTTGCCAAACATCTAAGAAATAATTAAACTAATATATTATATATATATATATATATATATATATATATATATATATATATACAGGGTGTCACCAAATAGGTTGTCATTCTTTAAGGGGATGATAGTACACGCCAAAATAAGAAAGTTTTTCCTCTATTATTTTTGCATAAGTGTCATTATTTTAATTAAAAAAATCATTAAAATTTTTATAAGTAAAGTAGAAATTTTGAGCCGCTTAAATTTACATAATATATAATACACTGTGCGCATACCTGTTTCTTTTTTGCTTGGATGAATATTATCATTGTTTTTGAGGTAAAAACAATGATGATAATTAGGATAGGTCAGTGACATCCAGTGGCTTCCTGGTTTTGTCAAAACAATTTCATAATTTTTTTATTAATAAACAGAAGCTCTAATTCAAAAATGATAGGAAAAACTTTCTAGTTTTGGGGTGTACTATCATCCCCCCAAAGGATGACAATTTATTAGGTGACACCCTGTGTATATATATATATATTGCTCTGAAACAGTACCTTATATTAAAGTATTTGAGGTTGTATGCTCCTGTTAGACACTTAATCGCGTACTCGAAAATTTCTTCATTGGTCCAGTCCAATTTTCTCATTAATCTCATAATTTTGTCGGTATTATTTTTCTGCAAATCAATGTAAAGTATTTTCCTTATAAACTGGTGCATCACTGGCCTCTCTTTTTTTGCAATAGTCACAATTTCCGGTGGATTAACGTGATAATACGCATTTTCAATCTGCGTGACGTAACGCGAGTCCAAAGCCATTACTGATTTTTTCCTCATCATCTGTTCTAAATAAACTTTGGTCCTTTGGTGAGAATCTGGACTGCAGTAAAGATATCTACCGCATACCTCAAGGAGATTACAGGCCATTTCAATGTGATGATGCATAAAATCGTGCAGCAAAACTTTCAAGCAATATAATGCCTCTATCTTGGAGTACAATTTAAACTTGACAAGTTCTCCTATGAACCTGACAACCTTGATTTTCGACTCGATATTAATTTGATCTTTTTTTCTCACGTGGTACTTAAAATCCTGCCGCAACATTTGACACAACTCGTTCCCGACTTCCGGCAAAGCCGGATGTAGAATCGCCACGAATCGCGCGTAAAACGGAAGCAGGTCCAAACGCGTCCGGTTGACGCCGAACAGGCCGCGAACCAACTTTTTGCGGTTGTGTTTGCTGTTGAGCGTCACCAAGAAGTCGATCGCCGCGTTGTCGATCATTTCGCGGTTCACGCAGTTCGGCAGGTTGTTTAAATACGCTTCCAGCACAATTTTGTTGCTGGCGTTTGTGGCGGCCGGGTCGTCCACCTCTTCCTCCACCAAAGCCGGAGGTTCCTCACTTTTTCCTATAAAATATGATTTATTGTGATTGGGTTTAGTGTTATAGGGTATGGTTGATATTTTTGATGTGTAAAAGTCTATGCTATGGCCATGCGGTACGGGCTTTCTACGAAAATCGATATAAGTGAGAGTGGGGACAGGTGTACGGAGAGTAAATCATATTCTCATGTGTTCTTGGCGTAAGAAATTAGTGGCTGTACATAATTAAGGGAGGGATAGAAATAAATCAATCCAATATGGCGGCCGTCGCACAGTTGCCAATTTTGATCGAAAAACGAACTTAATCGAACTTAATCGACTTGTTTAGATATGTTTTAAATTTTCAGATTATATTGCCCTATGGTCCAGTAAACTTTTTACCAAATCTTGGAATTATTCCTTTGCAAACAAAAAAATATAGCCACTCAAAATACAAAAAAAATGCTTATTTCAATAGACCGTTATATTTTCAATAAAAACATCAATTTTATTGGCTTGGTATTTAATTAGATATGGTTTAAATATATGGGTTATATATATCCATTTATAGTTAACATAATATGAAAGAACGTTTCTTGGAGAATCATTTGTTATAATATTTACCTTAAAAAAAATTTGAAATGGGGATATAACAGCCCTTATTTAAAAGCAGGTTATTTTTAGTAAAATTTAACTTTAAAGCAATTTTACGTTTATGAAGACTCAAGAAGACCGGTTAAGTGTTATGTCAAAATGCTCCCTAAACCTTCTACTTTTTGGTGACATTTTCCATTCTTGCCGCTTTTTGCCGCTTTTAGGTATAGAGGGACATTAAGTGGCGCGCGCGGGATAAAGATAAAGCTGTTTTTTGTGGATTTTTAACTTTGAGACTATTTTATGGCTATGAATACAAAATAATTTAGGTTAAGTATTATTCTAAAATGTTCCTCAAACCCTATACTTTTTAATGTAATTTTTAGATTTGCTCGGTAGTAGTAGGTTAAGGTGGATCTGTAAAAAAATTTAAATCGTTACTTTGTTTACCTCAAAATAATAACTATGGTATTATTATGCAAGATTATGAAAATTATGATAAACAACAATAATTTTTGTCCAATATAATTTATTGTCATAAAGGTAAAATACTATATTAAATTTAAAATTACCTTCGAGTTCTTAGGTATACCAAGTAAAAGAGTATATCTAATTGTTGGTTTGTGTTATTGTTTAATTGTGCATAAGCTTTTGCAGTGAATTGATAACAGTTTTTGAATTGTGTGTTATTTTTGTGATATTATTATAGTGAATATCTTTGTCTGCGCGTCTTTATTATGGCTAACAAAACGCCAATTACTCGTTTAATGTTACATCAAAAAATGATGGAATTTTCCAATAATTCTATTGACGAGAGGAAAAATGTAATTTTAGATTATCTAAAGGAATATTTTGGTATTGAGGAAAATGAAACGGCTACGAAAGACCTTGTGACTTATACAAGAAATAATTTTTTTGCACCATATTTTCGAAAATGGAATAGCCTTAACCGTACTAAAAAAAAAATTGAAGTGAAGTATCAAGAGTGGTTGAATGAAATGGTGTTCCCGGAAGCAGTTAACAATCCTACTCAGGATGTATATAATCCTGAACCTTCAACATGCAGTAGCCGTAAGTATTTCTTGTTATTCCCATTTAATTTATTCTAATTTAACACATTAAAATAGGTGTTGGACGCAAAATAATTAAATTTGAAGACTCATCTGAAGTAATTAAACGGAGAAAAACTCAAGAACTCCGAAAGCGCCATTCTAGTGGAGAATTAGTTTTTGCCACAGCCAAGAAGTTAAAATGTGAGGGAAGTGTGGATACTGCAAAAATAGTAAAAGAATCGGCTATGACCACACCAACACGGGCAAGAAAAATTTTAAAAGCATATGAACACTCGTATTCATCTTGCACAATTCTGCCGTGCTTAATGAAAACGCCGTAACCAACAATTTTGCGATTTTTGGTATACGGCATTTACTACTAGAACAATTCATCCTGTGTCTATCCCCGGTACTCAAAAAACCGTATTATCTATAGATAAGAATTGACGAGGCACTTTCATTGTTAATTTGTTCAAATTTGTCAAAGGGCCAATACACTAACATGAGGCGTTTAGCAACAAATCATGGCCTTAAATTTTTTCCGCCGTATTACAAGTTAACAGAGGAGAAAAAAAAATATTATCCAGAGAATATTTCAATTTCCAATAGTTTATGCGAAGTTCCTTTACAATCAATTTTAAATAAAACTTGCGAAAGTGTCGTACGATGTGTGGGAAACGAATCCGTAGAAAGTCGGTCGTTAGTTTTAATTTGCAAGTGGGGGTTTGATGGAAGTTCGGGATATACTAGTTTTAAATATAAAAAAGATGAAGAAACTGTTCAATCTGATAAAAGGCTATTTGTTACTTCATTGGTGCCACTTAGGTTAGTCTGCGAGAAAACCTCCGAAGTAGTTTGGAAAAATCCAAGACCATCGTCAAAAATGTATTGTCGGTCGATAAGACTACGTTGGGAAACTGACGAAATAACAAGGGATGAAGAGGCTGCTGTCAACGGGGAAATAGAAGAGCTGGTACCCTATCAGTCGGATTTAGGTCCAGTGAGATTTCACTTAGCCCTAACAATGCTTAACGGAAAGGTTTGTTAATAATTTAATATCATGATATCAAAATCTAATTATTTTTATTATTTTTAGGCTTGTGGGGCGATAACAAGAACGTCTAGTATGACTTGCCATATTTGCGAAGTAAAAATTTCCAAAATGAATTACATTGATTTTGTTCTAAGTCTTCCAGAAAAACAAGATGTTTTAAAGTATGGACTGTCTACGCTACATGCATATATTCGGTTTTTTGAATGTTTGCTTCATGTAGCATATCGTTTAGAACTTAAAGTTTGGAAGGTCACCAAAGACAATAAAATACCATTTTCTGAGAGAAAAAAGAAAATTCAAGTAGAATTTCGATCAAAGATGGAGATTCAAGTGGACTGTGTTAGGCAAGGGCACGGGAGCACAAATGATGGAAACACAGCTAGGAGCTTTTTTGATAACCCTTCTTTGTCTGCAGAGATTACCGGTAAGTTAACTCAATAATGATTTTTATTCCAAAGTTAACTTATTTTTTTGTAGGAATCAACGAAGATCTTATAAAAAGATTTGCTATTATTTTGCGAGTAATTAATTCTGGTTACCAAATCAATATAGAATATTTCAAAGAATATTGCTTGTCAACGGCCAAAAGATTTGTCGAATTGTACAATTGGTATCACATGCCGACTTCTGTACATACCATTTTAATACATGGTGCTTCCGTAATTGGCGAAGCAATATTGCCAATTGGTGAGCTATCCGAGGAAGCACAAGAAGCAAAAAATAAAGATATTAGAAAATTTAGAGACGCGTTTACAACTAAAGTAAATTTAAAAAGGGTAAATAAAGATCTTTTCAAGAGACTGATAATTAGTTCCGATCCATATCTAAGCAGTTTGGCCATCAGGGGAAAAAAATGAAGTTAAGTTCTGATATCCGGCCTTTTATATTAATCCACGAGAATGATGATGAGAATGATGATGATAACAGTGATGATGACAGTGATTTTCACAGTGATGTTGACAGTGATGACGAGAGTGATGATAAGAATGACAATGAGAATGATGAAGAGAATGATGAAGAGAATGAAGAAGAGAATGATGAAGTGAATGCTGAAGAGAATGATGACGAGAATGAGGATGATGAGGAAGTTGAAGATGATGAAGCAGATGAAAATAGATCCGAAGGTTGAGGTGAAAATTGTAAATTGTAAACTTTATTCTAGAAATAAATATGGATAAATACAATTTTTTTATTAGTTTTTAGTTAAAATACACCAGGTATGTATGGGTCAATTTCATGTTAATGTAAATTTGCAACCCCCTCTATAGGGTTGTTGGAAATAAGTTAAGTAAAACAAATATTTGCCACTATATTATACGGTTTTTTTTTTAGGTAAGTATATAAAATTTCATATAAATTGGTCAATATTAAATTTGCAACCCCTTGTAAAGGGTTATTGGAAATAAGTTAGGTAAAAAACATAATTACCACTGTATTGTATGACTCTTTTTAGGTAAGTATATAAAATTTCATATAAATTGGTCAATATTAAATTTGCGACCCCCTGTAAAGGGTTGGAAATAGGTTAAGTAAAAAAATATATATACCACTGTATTTTAAGGCTCTTTTTAGGTAAGTATACAAAATTTCATACAAAGTGGTCAATATTAAATTTGCAACCCCCTGTAAAGGGTTGGAAATAAGTTAAGTAAAAAATTTATATATACCACTGTATTCTACGGCCCTTTTTCGGTAAGTTTGCAAAATTTCATACAAATTGATCAATATTAAATTTGCAACCCCCTGTAAAGGGTTGTTGGAAATAAGTAAGCTAAGAAATATATGTACCAGTATATTCTGCAGTTTTTTTTAAGTAAGTAAACAAAATTTCATAATTTTATATAAATTTAAAAAAGTTATGAAAAAAGTTCGTTTTTCGATCAAAATTGGCAACGGTGCGTCGTAAGATTGCCTATTTTTTCACAACTTCGTTGATAGGGGTATTAAATGAAAGAGTTTGACGAGTAGAAAACAGTTAATTTTTGAAATATTCAAAATTGTTTAAATTTACAAAATTCACAAAAATTTACAAAATCTTTCAAATTGGCACTCAACTGTGTTAAATTATACAGCATGGTGCGCTGTTCTATAAAGTCATTTTTGAACCGTGAAACTAAATTATATCTTATATATTCATTTCATTATGATATAACTAAGAAGTAAAATAAATATGATGTTATAAAAAGTAAAATAAAAAAATATCAGTTTTTTTTAATTTTGGGTATTTCCGCAAAACCTTACCCCTGAGAAAAAATCAGATGTGATATATAACAAAACAAAAACTATATCTGAAGTCAAATAGTTTAATTGCGACGTAATTTATAACCTTAAAATATTCGAACATTGTAATGCTAAGAAACTAACTAACTAAAAATATACACGGAAGAGTTTCAATACTCGATAAAAAGTTCAAATGTCACACCCGTTACATTTTGAGAAAATTTTAGAAAATAAAGTACCTATACAATATTTGTGCATTTAAAATACGTGCTTGTTTAAGATTACCATTTAAGTTTTACACAAAAAATTATGGAACGCCGCGGCGTTCCGTTTTATCATTTAATCGAACAACTTTAAAGTAACCAAAAAATTCAACAAACTTGTAAATTCGCGTTATTTCATTGTTTGAAATTTATGCTAGATGCAAAAGTAATTTCAAAGTATGAAATTCGCTGTATTTCAATGTTTGAATTAAACTGATTTGTAAAGAAAATTATCCACTAATTTTAATGTTTGAAATTATCAGAGTCAATTTCAATCTATAGAATTCACTTAATGAAATGCACAATTACAATGATTGGAATTAATAATATAATTTTATTAAATAAAAAATTGTGTTTGCGTATTGCATTCATTCAAAATAATCAAGTTAAATTCCATTCATTGAAATTGTACAATCCATTCAATGAAATTCCGAATGGCATTTCAACAAATTTCATTCAATGAAATTGTGCATTCCATTCAATGGAATTGTGCATTCCATTCAATGAAATTGTGAATTTCATTCAATGAAATTATAAATTTCATTCAATGAAATTATTATTATTATAAAATAATTATTTAATGAAGTTGTGAATTTCATACAATGAAATTCTGATTTGAATTTAATGAAATTGTGCATTCCATTCAATGAAATAATGAATTGCATTCAATGAAATTGATACACTGCTACATTAGAGCCTGCATAATAAAAACAGTATAATAACATAAAACAGTATATTTAAATTTTAATTAATCATTATGTATGCGCATTGGTTAGGTACTAGATTAATGTGTTATTTCGCAGTGTGTACTATGCGCATTATATACCACATGGTTTTAACCATGCGCAGTGGGCACCAGGTGATTGTTTCTATGCGCAGTGGGTACCAGTTGATTTAATGTGTGCGCAGAAAGTCTCAAATATTTATTTTTTATGCGCAGGGGGGACAAGATGGTTGCATACAATAAAAAAATACGTCCCGAAATTGATGCTTCTTCTTAAATCAGAAACTAGCTTTTCTTTTATCGGCCTATCAAAAAATCAAAAAAATGTTTTATATTCCCTATTATTAAAAACACTGCGCATGGGTTCGGTCATATAGGACAAAAACCAGACAAAAATTGTTTAAGTAACAGCAAATTATCAAATTTTGCCATAAAACCTTAGGTACCTACTGCCCATGGGTACGATTTTTACGGAAACTAATGCGCGTTGATTAAATCATAAGGTAACAACTGCGCATAAATCCAACCATCCGGCGCTCACTGCGCATAGATACAACCATCTAAAATCTGCCACGCATAGTTGCAACCATCTTGTCCCCAGTGCGCAAAAACAATAATTATAGGAGACATTCTGCGCACACATAAAATCAACTGGTATCCACTGCGCATATAAACAACCTGGTGCCCACTTCGCATGGTTACAACCACCTGGTACCTTCTGCGCATGGACAATACCATCTGTAACTCACTGCGCATGGATCCAACCACCTGGTACCTAATGCGCATAGATACAAGCATCTGGTACACACTGTAAAATAACACAATCATCTAGTACCTTCCTAATGCGCATACATAATGATTAATTAAAATTTAATTATACGATTTCATTAAATGGAATTCAGAATTTCATTGAATGGAATGCACAATTTCATTGAATGATAGCACAATTTTATTGAATGGAAATCAGAATTTTATTGAAGGCCGTTGCTAGTCGTCCGTATAATCGGACGAATAAAATATATAAATCGTCCGATTATCGGATGAATAAAATATATTAATCGTCCGATTAAAATATTAAAATGGGCAAATTTACGATAAAAATAAAACACTTTTTAACAAAGCAACAACAAATTTATGAAATAAAAAAAGTTCGACAACTTCTAGTAGATTTTATGTTACGATAAAACTAAAACAAACCAACCAACCCAACCCAACCGAACACTGTTTAACAAAGAAACAACAAATTTATGAAATAAAAAAATAAAAAAAATTCGACAGCTTCTTAGTATCGAACCCGGGACCTCTCGCATGCCAAGCGAACGCCCTACCATATAAGCTATCTAGCTTTTTGTCAAATATTAAACGGTCGGTGAACAAAAGCGGATTATAATTATGACGTAACTAACGTTATTACCGGACGATTAATATATTTTATTCATCCGATGATCGGACGATTAGACAAGTCGTTTATTGAATGGAATGCACAATTTCATTGAATGAAATTTGTTTAAATGCAATTCGGAATTTCATTAAATGGATTGCACAATTTCAATAAATGTAATTCAACTTGCTTATTTTGAATGAATAAAATACGCAAACACAATTTTTATTTTTTATTTATTAAAATTTAAAATGGTTAATTCCAATCATTTAGTGAAGTTAATTTTTTTATCCGGACTCTAGTTTTTTTGTTAGGTTGGTGGCTTATGCCAGTTTGACTTGATTTTTAGTATTTAAAAATGGTACTTCTGCTAAAGAATTTAATTAAATACTTTGACACTGTCAAATTGACAATAATATTTTTATTGATAATTTACTTGTCAATTATTAATAAAAAGATAATTATGCCAAAAATAATAACAACGAATTCGAATGTAAAAGCCCTTTTGAGGGCAAAGCTTAATTTTGACGAAATTATGCCAAATGCCACAATGGAAGAAAAAGTACCTACATCGCCTTAAGGACATTTTTGGAGTAAAAAAGTAACGAATTTGTTTTTATAAATATTACATCACACATTATTTTCAGCTAAGCAGATCAAAAATTTTTGAGATACTTAAAAATAAGGGGGAAAATAGAATGCAAAAAGTAGGGAGGAAAAATATAGGAATTTGCTTCGACAATTTTTTGTTACGGGAGGAAATTTCGCGGCATATTTTTAAGTTGTTAAAGGACGGAACACATTTTACTTTGGATGATCTTTTAGTTTATGCGCGGAACGAAATTGAATTTACCGGGTCTAGGTCACTATTGTACAAAATTTTACGGGATGTGGGTTTTAAATATAAAAAAACAAACTGGATATTTATACGTCCGACGTATACAAAATTTGGTATACGTCTTGTGCTTTCATTGGCTAGTTTATTATTAGCGAATTATTCAATAAGCTCGGTAGCTCCGATGGAAGAGCGCCCGCTTTGTATGCGAGAGATACCAGGTTCGATTCTTGGCGCCAACAACTTTTTTTTTATTTTTATTTATATAGCGAAAAGGAATATTATTTAATTTTACATTAATATTCATTTTGCTACAGTTATATATATATATATATAATATAATATGTAATTATATGAATATTCCTTCGTTGAAAAATTGGGCGGGGGGGCCAATGGGGCGGGGTCGGTTGAGTTGGGTTGTTGAGTTTGGGTTGGTTTGGGTTGGTTTCGCTCACTTTTGCCCATTTAAGTTGATTGACAGTGAGCAAAACCAACCCAAACTCAACAATGAAAGCTCAAGACGTATACCAAATTTTGTATACGTCGGACGTATAAATAGCCACTTCGATAAAAAAATTGATGGGAGGAAAATATGCGAGCGGAGTTATGTGGTGCGGTCAAAAATTCCTTTTTTAAGAAAATATTTGGAACTTTTAAATTCAGGATCTCGAGAGAATGTAAATTTTATTTTTTTTATGTAAAATTAGTAAAATTTGTTATAAATTATTAATGATTTGCTTGTTTTAGATAGGTACCTCAAATATATTTTTCATACAATTGGACAATTTTATTATTGATTTAGCTAAGCTTCTTTAGTTTAAAAAGTACATGGGAACTATATTTGAGAAAAAGCAATATTAGAACCACAATCCACACATGTGGATTGTGATTAGAACTAACCAAATGATTAAATTACCAAAAAAATACATTGTATTAAGATATATTTTAATCAATCAATGAAATAACACGTGAATCCATGTATCAAATTATTGAAAGTGATACTAAAATATGAAAACTATCATAAACTGATCAAACTTTTATTTATTTACGACCATTTCGCCTAATATATATTACCTCTAAATTTAAGCAAATAAGGGGCAAGTAAATTCACTGTATTATGGGCTAACCCAAATTGAGAAATTTATGCAAATTATAAAAAGAGTATGCCTAAATATGATAATACATTACAATATCATGCCAATGTTTAATAATAATCATGGCTGTGTAAAATCTAAATTTTTCCTTTCTGAAATTGTATATAGGTCCTGGCTTTAGCACGGCAATATAAAGCTGTAATTGTAAAATATCTTAAGTGAAACACTTAACATTTTTTGTATATTCTAGTATCAGGACAAAATCAGGCTAATATTTGTCCTGTTTGTAAATAGTGTAATAGTCCTGTTTGTAAATGTATATTGTGAAACCAATCACTTTTATATATGAAAACAATTGGTTTCACAAAAAGTTCAAGAATGACCTCTCTAAACAGCACTGTGGCAGCTCAACAAAGTTTTTAAACAGAAAGGTTTTTAAAAAGTTGAATTGAGTTTGGATGAGTAAAAACGATTTTATCATACATTTTCCGGAGGATAAAAGGTATTGGACAAATTTGGATCAAAACTTATGTGAAAAAAATATTTCATATACAAAAACCGTTTTTTTACCATTGGTTTATAATTTAATATGATTTTGATTCAATGCATCAAAAACTTTGTGATTTTAACAATAGAATCCTATAGTTAAATCTTGTAGACCTGTGTAACAGTTATGATGGTGTTTTTATTTTCCAGAAACTTTTGTAATTCAGTGAAAAAAAATAAGATTTAACGTTTTTTTGTTTAAAAAATACATAAAAAATACAATAAAATTGTTTTACCATCATCTTCCAGTTCTTCAATGGGTAGTTCAGAATCAAGCACCTCTTCAGATACTGTCTCCGTGGGGGGAGGTGTTTGTGCTTTATTAATAAAAGCTGTTGGTAAAAAGGCCTGTAATTCTGGTAAATCACAGTAAAACTTTTGCGTTTCAATGTCACACCAAATATTCTCCATTGTGGCTGAATTTTCCTCAAAATCAACACCTGAACCTGTCACTATCATGCTCTAAAAATGTTTATGTTTATTAAAAAACTTTTAAGAAAAAACTTTATTAAAACCCACCTCTTCAGTTTTAGGTAGGGTCTGTATTCTTAATACAGGCATATCATCATTAAGTATATCAGCAAAACTTTGAGTATTTGTAAGCAGTTTTTCGTAAGCTGATTGCAGTGATTCCAATTTATCTTTTCTTTCTTGGCTGAGTTCCCCTTTAGTCTGCAAAATTCTAATATTTTGCTTTTCAAAATTCTGCATTTCTATATGATCCTTAACCAAATGTTTACTCAAGGAATTATAGTAATCTTTAAGTAGAACCTTAACATTTTGTTGCTTTTCAGGTGGCAAAAACTGACTTCGTGGTATTGTCATGTTGTGTTTTTCAGACAACTCCCTCATTTTCCTGGGAAGCAAGCCTGCATAATCATCACCACAATGCTTACAAAAACTTAAAATAATAGAAACATTGAAATGATCATCTTTGTCCATGTTAATCAATGTTGTTAAAACAGAACCTAGCAAAGTAAAAGCATTTTTGTTGGTAAAAATTCCCCCCTGAACCAATTCAGCATAAAATCTTAAATCAACACGTAATTTACTGGGATTGGGAATTTTTTCACCTACTTTAAAAAATAAGACCTTTTGCCAATTCTCAAATAAGTGCTGAGAAAATTCTGAATAAGTTTGGTGCAAGTTACTGCACAATTTCACAGCACCAGGAACATCAGTCATCTTTAACTTGGCTTCTACTAATGCAGCAGCCACTTCAGAAATATATTTAGATAAATTTAAACCTGTCATGTCTTTAAGATAGCCATCAACTTGACTAGCCATGAAGTTTTTAATTTTTTTAACGAAAGCTGTGTTTTTCTTGAGACTAGAGTCCAGCTTGCTGAAATGTGAATCAGTTGGACGTAAAGATGGAGCATTTTGATTTGCAGTACGTAATTGTTGTCTAAAAGCAATTTTTTCTTCCACTTCTTGAATAAATAAGGTTAGGGTAAGTTTTTCGGCCTCATCGTCTTTTTGCGAATTTTCCACTTCTGCACTTTCTTCGGGGACCTCTGTGGCTGTCATTTTTATAATCGACTATTTAGTTATCAATTAATTATTAAATGTATGAAATAAATACACAATTGAGAGCTTTAAAATGACAAATAAAAAGTCAGTTGCCATTTAAATTTTAAATTGTGATTCTTTAATCTGTTCGCAGAACATTCACTAACTATACCACATACACGGCGTATTATACACGGAATAATCATTGACTTTTCCACCTATTTTTTTTTCGATTCTTTTTTGTGCTCGATATAAAAAAGTGAAAAAAATAATTAATTTGATTTGATTTGTTTAGTTTTTTTCATAGATATAATCATAATCGTTTCTCTATGGATTTAATCTATGGTGTTTTTAGTTCCTGACAGGGACTCCTTGTTTTTGATTATGTCAAGTCTGACGTAAAAAAACAACATCTAAGTAAAAGTAACGAATTACAAACTTAATATTCAGCCATTCCACGTAATAATTAAAAGTTGTCAGTGAAAACATTTAGTAGTATTACTATAATTAAAATGCTTAACTACTATAATTAATCTTGTAATAATGTTGCCAACCCTACCGAATTTTCGGTAGATCTACCGATTTCTGAAAAATTCCACCAATCTACCGATAGACATCAATATTCTACCGAAAGTCTAAATCTAAATAATCCAAAACTTTTTTAGATTAAATTGCCTAAAAATAGTATATATAAAGTTTATAGTTTATATTATAAACTATATTATACTTCGACAATCATGGTACTATACTAAAATTGTGAGTAAAAACTACACGTTATAAAATTTATTTAAAAATATTGTTTTATTATGCTTTTGATAAGTTATAAGCACAATAAAAATAATATTATAAAATATTAATTTTATAACTTGTGGTTTTTACTCACAATTTTAAATTGTGACGGGCGGGACAAAAATTACCGAGTAACGTGGAATGCCCCTGTGGTAAAAACTGTTTTTACCGACATTATTAAATAAAATTTTAAAAATACAGACACAAAAAAATTAATAATATATTATTGTATAGGTATATACATAAATTTTGCACAAAGTTGAATGTTCTGTACTTTACCAATCTACACAGCAGAAATCTGCGATAAGTACCGTCATAGTACGACTATTCTACAAATGTTGTACAATATATGTATATAGAATCTATATTATAGATCATACACCTTCAAGGTTGTGAGCGACTTCTGCATGGCACACCCTGTATCGATGTGCGTCATTACATTTTTCCTTGAGGGAAATACTGATTTTTTGTAGTGTAGGGATTAATTAAAATATAAGTTGAGAAATGTTTTTGCAATTATATGTGCACACTTTCTGCTTTCGCGCTGTTTGTGAACAGATCATTTTTATTTTGGCAACACGGCTTTAGCAAACACGTGGTCATAAAAAATGACAGCATTTGTCATTGTAGAGGTTATGTTAAGTAATTGTTTAAAATTAGGCATAAAAAATGGTATGATAAAGACAAACTTGTAGCATAAATACCATTTTTTTTTAATTTTTAGGAAGATGATAGCGATATAGAGGAACTTGAACAGAGACTCTATTGTCAAGTTTATCATTCAAGACCAGAAGATTTAAATAACGAACCCTGTTCTATACAAACCACAGGTCAAAAAGAAACTGTAAATACTGAAACACCTCAAAGTCAACAACAAATGTACAGAACTTTTGCCGGTTCTTCTAAAAACCGATATTTTAAAAACCAAGAACCAAATCCAAATAATTTGAATGATAATTTCCAAAATGTAATAACTACAAATTATGCATTACCACCTTTGGTATTTAATCCAGTGCAAAATGTAATATTAATTAATCCCAATGTTAGTCCCCCAAAGAACATTAAAAGGCCAAAAAATGTTGAAAAAACTAAAAGAAATCGTCAACGGCTTAAAGAGAAACAAAAGTTAAAAAAGTTATTTGAAAAGCGAATAACAGAAATTCAAAACACACATGTAAGATTCCCAGATTGTTCCCAAGAAAGCAATGATGTAATTTGTATTTCTGATAATGAAGATTGTGTAATTGTATCTTCTCCTATAAAAGATAAAAAATCAATAGATTTGGATGGTCCAATGTTATGTCCATCTGAAGATAGTGAAGATGTGGTTTATATTGAGCCTGAACCAGTTCCTTTCATAGATTTGGACTCCGCCTCTGAAGCTGAAGTTCCATTAGAACAAAACAACATTGTAACACCTGAAATCTATGAAAATTCATCCCAACCAGAGAAGAGATGCTCGCCAAATAAACACAGAGAGTTGCTGGAAACTCCAGACTCAAACCAATCAAATGACTTTATAGACACTAGAAACTTGGGTCAATCAAGCTTTAATTTCAGCCTCCATGGTAATGAATTTAATAATGCACCAGATCAGTTTTTAAGGCCGGCTAACCCTACTGATGTTTATGAGACTGATGGTACTGAAAGTACAAGTACTTCAGATTTTAACAAAGAATTGCACAACTCAATGAAAGCCGGAGTTTTTAACGAAGTGGAATTTCCTAAGGAAGACATTTTTTCAGAAACTAATTTAGAAGCATTTGGAAAATATATTACTCCAAAACGGAAAACTACTGCAATTAAAACTCCTCAAAAACCAGTTGTATCCAATCATTCCACACCAAAGAATATTCCTATTAGATATTCTTCAGATAGTAGCTCTGAAGAAAGTGATTATGAGGAAATGGTCAAAAATAAGGCTCTTAATCAAAATGTATCTGATTTACCTGAATTATCATTTATGGAGCCTGAGGTAAAACAGAATAAACAAGGCAAGGAAACTGAGATTGAAAGTAAAAAATCTAAAAAGAAAAAAAGCAATAATAAAGATTCAACGGAAGTAAGTGAAACTACTGAGTTAACAAAAACAAATAAAAATAAGAAAAAGCAACTTAAAGAAAGTGAAAGAGACATTAATGCTTCACAAATGGAAGCAAGTCTTATTTTAGAATGTGAAACACCTGTCAAAAGGAAGAAGAAAAGAAATACTTCTGAAGTTGTTGATGAAGAAATTGTAAAGGAGAAATGTATTGCTTTAACAAATGAAATTGCAGACACATCAGATACTGAAAACCCAACAAAACATAAGAAAAAGAAGAAGAAATCAGTTTCTGAAAGTAAAAGTGATACTGAACTTCTTGAAGCACCGCAATTGGATGTTAAGGAAAGGAAAAAAAAGAAAAGGAAGTCTTTTAGTGAAATTGATGAGTCTCAGGCTTTGTCAGAAACTGAGAGTTTAGGTAAGCACAAAAAAAAGAAAGTGCTTTATGCTACTGAAGTGGCAAATGAAGATGTCCTATCAGAAAATGAATGTTCCACAAAAAGAAAAAAGAAAAAAAAATGTTTAGAAGCTAATGAAGAAACTGATAATATTTCTGAGGTTGTGTTATATAAAACATCCAAAAACGATGCCGCTTTATCAGAAAGTACAGGTAAAACTAAAAGAAAAAAGAGGCATACATCCGAAGGAAAAGAAGAAAGCCAGCTTGAAAATAATTTTGAAAAAATTACACAAATTAATGAAGATAATTCACTAATATCAATAGGCAAAAAGAAGAAGAAGAAAGCAACAAAAGAGTTTGTTGAAAATGAAGAAATTGATACATCAAAATTATCTAAAAAAAAGAAAAAGAGGAAATCTTGGGATACAAGAATTGAAGATGAAGATAATAACTGTTTGGTTACTGAAAAGACCTTTGATAATGCTGAAAATGAGAAAAAAGAATCCCAGGAAAATAACGAAATAAAAGAAAATGAGAGAAATGAGACACATAAAAAAAAGAAGAAAAAGCAATATTCTGGATCAAGAGATAAAGATAAAGAAAATACCAGTTTGGCTATTGAAGAAGTCAGTGAAAAAACTGTAGTTATTGAAGTAGAAAATGAATCCACAGAAAAAATACCAAATTATCCTGAAGTAAATAAAGATATAGCTTTGGACCCAAAAATTCTGCAATCTGAAGAAAATAAAAGCGTCACAGTAAAAAAAGAAACCACACTAGAAAATATACAGGAATCCACTGAAACTGTAATAATAAAACCAGTCAAACAAGTATCTACAGTTTCTGAAAGCAATACAATAAGTACGTTTGCTATCAAAAAAGAAGGAAGCTTTATAGATGTGGATAAACCAGACTCTGATATTGAAGAAATCCCGAACATTAGCGAGTTAATCGTTATAGATGAAGTGCAATCAGACAACGAAGAAATAAAGATATTTTCCGATTCTGACCGTAGTGAAGACAACACAAAACTTGTGGAAACTGATCTTAATTTAGCCAACTGTTCCACAGCAAACGAGTCAAGTTTCTCCTTTGTAATTGATCCTTCGCCAGATAATTCGTTGTATGCGGATAGGACAACGTTCAGGAGCAAATGGACTCCAGATAAAAGGGCTTTCTATGAGACTGTAACAAGCAAAAATTTTGATGTGGAAGCAATACAAAGTACAATGAAAGGTAGGAAACAAGTTACTGTTTTTTTTTTGGTTTAGATATTGCACTCCACCAGTTAACACAAAATTATTCGTTTGGAGTATTTAAATTATTATGTAGTTACAGTTGGCACAATCCAAATGTGAGTAATCATTAAAATATGCCAATAAATAAATTCGAACCTTTGCAATAACCGGGAGTAGAAAAACGGTCAAGTTCGAATCGGACTCGCGTGGAGAGAGTCTTGGGTTTTTCTGTAAACTATATTCCCAATTTTTTTTTTTTAATTTTTATAAACGTCAGGTTGATAGTCATAAATACACTTTAATTAGTATGACGTCTTAAATTAATCATTGGTCATTGAATAACGTCATTATGATGAGACATAAGCACGTCGATAACTCGTCATTAAAACGTCGATTACTGACGTCAGTGCGTCATTGCAGCGGCGACAAATAAAAGAGAACTCCTAAACTTCCTTTGATTTCTCCTTTTCTGAGTAGAAGTAATAATTTTTATCTCCACGCGGTCTATAATTTAAACTTTATTGTTGTCAACATTCGATAAAGAAATACCTTGTTATGGCCTAGACCGATAAAAAATTTTATGAGGCAAGTAATTAGTTCGATTTTTTCTCGCTAGGGGTATTGTTTTGACAAATTAATCCTTTTCTAAGAAATTAACGTACTAAACTGGTTTAATTTATTTATAATAAGCACTAATTTGATTGTTTTACTGTTAATGTTTAATATTTTTCATTAAATTATTGTAAAATTAAATATGAATAATAAAACAAAAAGTGAGGTTAGGCAACCAAGAAAACGCACGATTCTTTTTCTTCGATTTAAATTATCTTTAAGTTTTAATTTGCTTTAAGTTTTCAGTGAAATTAAATGTTAAATACAGCTTAAACATTCCAAACTACCTATTTTTAAATAAAATACAAACAAATTGAAATTAGATACCTACCTATTTATTAAACAATTAATTGAATTTAATGTAATAGCAAAAATCCATTTCTACTTAAATCATGTTGCTAGGTATTGTCAAACTATTACTGCTTTTAAAAGCAATAATAATTATTGTACATTTAATGTAATCTTTAGCTAATAAATAAATGAGATTTAAAAAAAGTGAGGTTGGGCCGCTTTGATGTTGAATTAAATTGACCTATATAAAGTGCTTTGAAGATAAAATGTTGTATGTCATTCGGCCAAGAAGTGCCTTTTTGTGCTTCGCTCAATTGTAGGCCTCCGCTACGCGTCGGCCTTCAAACCTTGAGCTTAGCACAAAAACCTCTACTTCTTAACCTAATGACATAAATAACTACCTATTTTGTTTATTTCATTTTTTGTTACTGGCTTTTTTTAAGAAATATTGTGTAGAAATAATTATTTAATAATTAATGTTTATTTATCCGACTATAAAGAAAAGTAATATCAAAATTGAAAACATTCAGCAATATAGCCAGGAGCGTTGTATTTAGTGCACTGCGCGAGCACTTATGAGTATGAGTATGAGTATGGGAACGTATGGCAGGCCCCAGATATATTATCATCCACTGATCTCCCGGGGTTATTTTACCCCCTTTCCGTTCTCCTGCGTATCCCGCCAAATCACAGCATTACCTGTGTTTGTTGGATCCGAAGTTTTTACGCCGGCTGGTAGATCCACCCTAGGAGTTCGTGGATGACAGTGTCAAAGGTTAAGGCCGCTCCCGGGATTTTTGTCAGCCGGGTCGGGCCATACGTCCAGTTTAGGAAGGGTTTTTGGAGGACATTGAACTGACCCAAAACTAAGTACAATCCGGAATCCTCCTGAACCTAGGCCTTTCGTGAATTTCGTGAATGGGGGGTGGGTATGTTAGTTTTTTTGCTTACTCCGGCTACCAACCTTGTATATTCTTTATTTATTTTATTGCTAAATTAGTGTTTATACCGTTTTCGTTTAATTTATATCTTTGCATTCTTACTTTTTTTTTCAAATTTAATTTAAAAATATAAATATTAATATACAAAATAGATAACCGGCCCTGTAGTGTTTGTGGTGGAATGCCACCAAATGGTCTGCATTGACTATTGATAGGATCATTCTTCTTTTCTTCTGTGCTGTTCTTCTATTTTGAGCCGGGGTGTCAGTACGCTGCCCTTGTTGGTGAACTATTTATTTTGTTGTTAAATTAGTGATTACGTTTATTATTATTTATTTTGTATCTTTGCATTCTTACTTTATTCCAAATCTAACCTAAAAATAAATTAATTCACGAAATAGATAGAGCCGGCCCTGTGGTGTATCGTATTAATTTTTGAAGTACGGTCTTAGTCAGGCGTGTAACGTATGCTTTAATAGATGGTTTATTTACGTTATTGGCTATTGAGTTCTTATCATCTTTGGGTTTGATTTATGGCTGTGACCCTAAATGCATATACAGTATTACTTATTCAAACACAACACTTTTTTATGATGAATTTTGTCTTCTTGCTTGATTTAGTTTATTTACTCTTACGCCTTTTTCAATGGTTGTTTATGATTTGTCTACTATGAGAAAATGAGGTTGTTTATTTAACAATTACGGATATTCTTACTTTTTTTTTTAATTTAGTTTTTATGACATAAAAAGAATTCTTAGATTTTTTGGCAACATTGTGAAATGCTTATAAAAACATTTAACGATTATACGGTAAAACATGCAATTAGAAAAATTACTTAGCTTGATTATTAGGCTATAATCCTGATGCTTTGTCTTTCGCGGGGTGTCCTTTGTTCCTTCTCCTGCAGGTTTTGAGACGCTCTGATCCAGGTGTGCCGGTTGACATCGTTGTGGCCTAGCCTTAATTACTTATTCACTTGCACACTTTTACGGCGTTATCTCGCAATTTTCGCCCTTGTTGCACTTCTTGCACTTGTTTGTTTATTTATTTACTTATTTATTTATTTATTAACGATTACCGATATTTCCGGATACTTTGTTTCGTTTTTGGTACTTTACGTTTGTATCGTATACGCTACTTAGGAGGAATCTAGCTCGACGCATCCGACCGCTTCGAGTGTCAAGAGCCAAGTGCACTGCGCGAGCACTTATGTTACAAAAATTGGTGCGGGTACTTAAGGGTTAAGAAAAATGTGTCCAAACGGTTTGGAACAAATGAGACCTTCTCCGAAAATACCTACCCAGACATTAAGTTTTTATAAAGTTTGAGTTTGGACTTTGTGGAAAACCTTTGGATTTGCATCTGTCCAGAAGCGACTATTATGGCGATTGACAGATAAGAAAAAACGTACAAAAGCCTAAAAAATAGATGTTGAAAAGCAAATTGTTATAATTAGCTATTTGTTTAGTCATCGCTTCGCATTTAATTCATGGACGAAATGAATCTTTTTAGTATGAAATTTATGAGATCCAAGGATCTGTTGGATGGTCGTTCTAGAAATGTTAGTAACCGCACGAGGGACTTAAAGGTGGATCAGCAACAACTTATCTGAAAACTCCTATCTCAGCAGCTTCATTCCTGACCCGACGTTCATAAACCCAGCAAGCACAAACGTCCTTGGGGCGTCCTTGGACTAGCCTTATGTCCAAGAATGGGATGATCCTATTATGACGTCCAAAAGAGGTCCATATGTCGACCTTGAATGTCCTTGGACCAATCTTAATGTCCCAATAGGGGATAAAAATATTAATTTTATTTACTTAATAAGCAAAATGGCCAATATGTTAAATAATTGCCACATAAAAGGGTGTATCATTAAGACCGCCTATTTTAAAATTTAAAAAAAATGCCGTGTTTATTTAAAAAGTTAACATATTTTTATTGCATTAAAGAGGGAAGACATGGAGGTTAAATATGGAACACAATATCCGATAAATGGCCACCTCGTGACTGACGGCACACGTTGATTCTTTTGACAAAATTTTCGATTACATTTTGACATAGTGCCGGCTCAATTTCATCAATGACCCGTCGAATCTCATGTTTTAGTTTTGGAACTGTTCTTGGGATATTTCCTTAAAAAATCCCCAAAGAAAAAAATTTAACGGCGTCAAATAGCATGGTCGGCCTGGCCACATCACATCCTCGCGGCGCGAGATAACTGCCTTCAAATTTTGTCCTCAAGAATTGCATGGTTTCGTTGCTGTGTATGGTCTGCTGTCTTTAAATATTGTGTCAACCGAATCTTGTACGCATGAAAATGCAGGTCTTTGGAAAAAATTCGCTGTAAACTGCTTCGAGAGAGTCTCAATTGAATTATGTTCAACACTTTCACTAACTGCTGCAATATTTTCAGCAGACCGAGCTGCACGAACACGGACATGTCTCTTTTTGGTTTGAATTGACCCAATCGTTTCAAATTGCTCGATTAATCGGACCACAGTACGACGAGAAGGTGCGTTATGGTGACCGAAAAATCCACGATATCTTCAAACCGTTTCCGAAAAATTTTCACCATTTCGATAGTGGATTTTTACAATTTCTATGCGCTGTGCGTCCTTGTAAATCTCCATGACTTAACCTCAATGTTCACACATGACCACTGTCCAACAACAATGCTGTACGATTGACACAAAAAAAAGACACTAAATTTAAAATAGGCTGTCTTAATGGGACACACTTTATATCTAATTTAAAAAGTTATAAACAATACATTTCACCGCTGTTTACGCACGCTTGATAACTATATACCGATAGGTTACATATATATATATATATAAGTTTTAGATGCGGCTGTGGTGGCACAGCTGAACATTAATTAGGGCTCAGTAAAGAATAATGAATAGCTAGCCAATCGAGTATGTGAATGTGAATTCTTCAGGACCCAAATATATCCAAGAACAAGAATAACCCTAAGGACGTTAAGGGAACACATATTTTTGGATTCCTGAACCTAAAGGCCATTTACAGGCTGGCTTTTTTTGCACCACTTGGACTTGTTTGGGATGCATTTGGTTTTATGTCTGCATTTATCCAATTTTATTCGCAAATGTCTGATTCTTCCAGTTTTATCCGCGATCGCCTGCATTTCATTTTATGTCTGCATTTATACGGTTTTATCCGCAAATGCCTAGGCATAAAACCCAATGCAGCTGCATTGGGTTTTATGTCTGCATTCGTTTGGATTTATCCGCAAATGTCTGATTTTGTAAGGTCTTGCTCCCCTGAGTACCACATAAAAAATTGAAATTCTGTACATTCGTTTTTAAAATTTAAGTTCTACTGCAAAAGTTGTCACCCTCAAGTTGAAGTGTCTGCGTTTTTTTAACCACTGCTTGCTACCTGAAAACGACTGTTTTTTGTTGGGCCACCCTGTATACCATATACCTCCTGCTAGTGTATTATTATTTATGTATTAATTTAGTCATGCCCCTCAAAGAAAATTCCTAATACGCCACTGCCTAAAAATTATCATTTTTTTAGTATGCATAATCCTTTTCGCTTTTATTTTAGATGATCCAAAGTGTTGGGAAGTCATTCCCGACGATATTTATTGTGTTTCACGAAGTAGAGGAATACAATGCAGAAATTGTAGAGAAATCGGTCATATAGCAGTTCGGTGTCCAAATAGGAAAGATGACGTTACTTGTATACTGTGTGGTCAATCTGGGCATATGGAACCTAGGTGTCCAAATAAATTATGCACTCAGGTAAATATATAAACAAAAATATAAATATGATTCTATAATTGTATAAAAATACTTTTTTAGTGTGGTAACGAAGGTAACTACTCAACAAATTATTGTTACAAATGTTTTAAATTCAGGAATATAAAGTGCAACTTGTGTCATATGTTTGGACATCAAAGCAATAAGTGCCCTGATATGTGGAGGAGATACCATTTAACTGTAAGTTTATTTCAAAAAAACTGTTTATTTTGACTGAGTGAATGATATGCATATCACTATTGTCAAATAACACAAATTTTTATCAAAAAATATAGTCGCGGAAAAACAACGAAAATAAAATCTGTGTGACGGACAAAAAAAAGTAAGAAAGTAGACACAAATTAATAAAATGAACAAAAAAAGTAAAAAAAAAACAATCATTCAAATTTATTAAGACAAAATACCGTGTGCAATGTATGGATGTGCGATGTGGGCAAAACAAACCATGTAATTGGTCTATAGCCGGGGAATCCCATAATAATGAATTAGTTTTGTGTTACTTTTTATTTGATTTCTTTGATGTTATATTAGGTATTAAATAATATCTATAGTACCTATATAATGTTATTATAGAATGCATATAGCATATATGGATTATATATTGATTGCATAATTGTTTAGGCTATTAAAAAAAAGAAAATTCCACTACTTGGCAGCCGGGTACCAGGTACAGGTAGCAGATCTACATACCTACCTTCTTTGTTTCTGAGCCCTACACTGTGGCCCAAAAAACATACCCTTTAAACAGTTAAATGTTTATGAAAATAACCCACTTAGAGCGAAGAAAACATTGATTGCCCAATTTTCACCTGTTTGTGATTTACCTTGATTTTACAATAATTAGTAGCTGTTGCGCGCATTATGGTACGTAAATTGGTAAATCATGAACAAGCGAGGAGCTTGATGGTTTATGATCCAATAAACCCACTATCAAAATTGAATTTTTAACTTCATTTCCGTCAATAGATTTATTGCATGTTCATTAGTGCATCACTTTTCATCCTATAAATGTTGGATTACTTATACATTAGAGCATTAGCCTTTTCTTCCAAGATTAGAGCTCAATACGATTGCCACGATTTTACCAATGATACCTCAATCATTGCAGCATGTTTGGGCAATCATGTACAGCAATAAAATGAAGAACGCGTGCGTATGCAAAAGAGTAATGACAAAAGAGATATTCTAAAACTCACAAGTACCTTTATTTAAAAAGTGTATCGTGATTATTGCCAAGTTAATTGCTGTGTCAGCCAAAGAGCTTTCTGCCATAGGTACCGCAAGCGTCTAATCTGATGCTTATAAAAAAGGGAAAAACTAAACTATTTATAGTTATTATTAAATTATAATAACATTTATGCACGTTAACTTAAACAAATCAACCAACCCAAGACTTTTTAACAAAGGATTAACAAATTTATAAAATAAAAAAAGTTCGACAACTACTGAGTATCGAACCCGGTACCTCTTGCATGCCATGCGACCGCCCTACCATCTGAGCTATCCAGCTATTCATTAATTGTATAACGCTCGGGGAATAAAATCGGATTTACGTCAGTCGGGATCGAATACGAGCACCATTTGCTCCCGTGAGCTTTACCTTATAAATTATACAAACAAAATGATAATCTGCATTAAAGTACGCATGGGCCGCCAGTACCGCTACCGCTACTTTCTGAACTATAAACCATTTTTCAATATTAGATACAAAAGCCTGAGTCTCCATACACTCTAAGTGCTATAATTAGATGACTTCACTTAAAAATTTGTATCGTCCGCAGTTTATTATTCCTTGGAAAGAATTTTGCGTGACCAACGATAAATCATTTAAATATAATATATATTAATATTATTATGAATATAATAGAACCATTGACTCAAATTCAAATTTATTAACAATTTCAGTTATCACAATAACAGGTCATAAAGAACAGTCCCTAAACCCCATGGGTTTGTGTGGAATATGCGAAAATGGCTCGAGAATTTACCTAATTTAATCATCAGTACATTCGCATTAGTTTGGTTCACCTAATCGTTTGAAGCCGAAATTGTACAATAAATGTTGAATTAGAACATCAAATTGCTGACCGCAATGTTTGCTATATTTTCGGTAAATTATATTGATGTTACCGGCAGTAAAAGATCCGGCAATTTGCGAAATGTCTAGATACCTACTCTGCAAACAGACCTTTTTACCAGACATTGTGCAAAATCACTACCATTTTGGGCAATCTACGAATTTACTACGCTAAGGCAATCTGCAAAATGTCTGATGCGATAGTCATCCGGGGATTAAAGGTTTTACTTCTCACATTGACTAGACAGTGTGCGCAACATTAATTTACGACACAAATGAGTCATTCCAAATAAAAACACTAAATGGGGTACGCTGCTTGATTTTTTATTTTAATAAAAAAAATTGAGGATGATCTTTTAGGTATCAAATATGAAAATCCGTTGCCGTTTTAATTTTTGGATTCTTTACTTTTAATTTGCACCCTTTAGAAATCTGAAATCATGTCAATTTCTTACTCTCTTATAGTGGGCCAGAACTTTTTTTCTGTGACAAATATTGAAATGATTTTAATTTTGTTTTACTGTTCAGTAAGTGCGTTTTCGATATAAATTATTATTATCCAATTAGTTAATCTCATAAAAGAATGGTAAACCACTAAAGATTCATGATAGTTTGCCAATTTTTGTGATTTTTGTTTGGCTCCTAGGCCTATTCTGCTAAATCTAGAAAGTTGCTTTTTTTCAGGTATCAAGTACTTATACAATAGAAAACGTAACTATTATTTTAAGTTTCTAGACTATCATTTTCTTTATTAAAAAAATTATTAAAACTTGATAATTCTTAAAATTAGTCAATTTTGCCCTCAGAAATCATTATGTTGAGGAAAAAATAAAAATCTTAAATTTTCAGGAAATGTAGTCCCCACCTTCATCTTTTCAGTCCAGTTAGTCTTGTTTTGTTATTTTTATTCATTTAAAAGATATATTAATTTTTTTAATGTCCGATTTTTATTTTTTCCTCAACATAATGATTTCTGAGGGCAAAATTGGCTAATTTCGAAAATTATCAAGTTTCAATAATTTTTTTAATAAAGAAAATGATAGTCTAGAAACTTAAAATAATAGTTACGTTTTCTATTGTATAAGTACTTGATACCTGAAAAAAATCAACTTTCTAGATTTAGCAGATTAGGCACAGGAGCCAGGCAAAAATCACAAAAATTGGCAAATTATTACAAATCTTTAGTGGTTTACCATTCTTTTATGAGACGAACTAATTAGATAATAATAATTAATATTGAAAACATACTTACTAGGCAGTAAAATAAAATTACAATCATTTCAATAATTGCCACAGAAAAAAAGTCTTAGCCGATTAGCGATTTCAGGTTTCTAAAGGGTGCCAATTAAAAATAAAGCAACTAAAAATTAAAACGGCAACGGTTTTTCAAATATGATACCTAAAAGATCATCCTCAAATTTTTTCATTAAAATTAAAAATCATGCAGCGCACTTTTAAATTCATTTTTGGTGCTTTCATTTGGATTGACTCAAATGTAAAATTGAAAAACTGAATTTTGTTTTTAAAAAATAAAAACAAAAATTAAATTAACAAACACTTGTTATTTATATAATGGTTGGGTTGGGTTTTTACCGCATAATGTATTCAATTTCTCCTAAAATATGCCAGATTTTTTACATTGCCGGTAACATTGATACATATTATTGCTCAACTATTGATAGCTGTTGCGTCCATAACATTACACAATCATTAGTGAATGCTATAAGTCAATTTTCAGGCGCACATCATACAGTTATTGATATTCACAAATCGGTTCCATGTTTTTGCCAATGAGGTTAGGTAATGATGTGCCACATACCTATAACAGGTTCATATTCTGTGCATCAGATAAGACTAAAATTGAGTTAATCATGTTCTATTTAGGAAATTTCTTAAAACTCACAATTCTCATCAAAATTCAAAAATACATTTGCTTCCACTGCAGACAGTAAACGCAATAACATAGAAAAAGAATATAATAATGTAATATATTTATTTGATCAAGTGAACATTATTTTTTGATTATAATGTATTTTAATTACCTACTGTATTTTTTGTAGACTGAAGAAGGTCCACCAGTTAAATCAACGTATCCAAGTTTAAAACCCAAAAACCAGCAATGGTGCAGTGGATGTGCAAAACTGGGCCATTTGGAACAGAATTGTAACTATTTAAACAGAATGTACCCATCTTCAGATATGGCCATTCACAGCTATGATGATATTTATGGCTACAAAACCACTGCAGCTACCACAACTACTGAAACATCTGCAAACTCTAGAACTTCTGCAACAACTGCGACCCCTAGCTCAAGAAGATCAGTCTGCATGGACCCATACTACCCCCAAAACTCACAAGGAGTAAATCTGATTATACAGCTCGCCAATAATCAGAATCAAATCACTCCCCTTATGCATCCCAGTAACTATATTGGTTTTGGAAATGTCAACCAACAACATACAAATCCTTATATGCAATTTCCAAATATCAACCAAAATCAAATGGTCTCAAATTTGAACCCTATTGCTTTTTTACCGCAATATAGCAACCAAAACTTAATTGTATTTCCACAACAACAGCAGCAACCACCAAAAGTTAAACAACCAGGAAACAAAAAATTAATAGATAAAAACTTTTTTTTCAAGGCCCCTTTTCAACTAATTCAATCATTTATCTATAGAGAATTAAACAAAATAAATAATGTCCAGACTGCTCAAGCATCTGTATTTAGAAAAGAATTGTTTAACTACGATAGATTAAAAAAAGAAATGTCAAAAGGACAATGCAAACAGTACATGTACTGGTGTAAGAGACTGAATATGTTTCTCTTTGGATTTCACAAGTTCAGTGACGGTCAAAAGCACTTGGATAACTTAAAAAGAATTCAAACCCTTGACCAAAATTACCCCTTAAACCACAGTGAGATCGATTCTTTGCACATATCCTATCAATATATTTTTGCTGAAGAAAGACATCAGTTTGTGAATTATCACAAATTATTAAATGTTCTTTTATTAAAAGAGCGTCGATCGAAATATAAGTTTATATAATTAAAAAATATTAGTATTATTGTTTTATTTTGTTATTCTTTTTTTAATGACGTTTTTTTCTTATAAAAAAACGCCCATATAAAGCTACACTCTGTATCTCGAAAACGAAGCGTTTCTAGAAACTACCAAATATGAAGTTCATGCAAGGAATCTCATTTATTTTTTTCCTATAATATTATTATAGGAAAAAACTAGATGAGATTCCTTCATTAAATGAATCACAATAGGACTGTTTATTAGGGCGGAGTGAATTTTTTTTATTTATTAATTGATCTTTCCTGTATTATTAATTGTTGACTAAGGGCGTAAAATGAATAAATATCAAAAAAATATTCCAATTTTATAATATCTTGAGGTGGCGCATCGATCTCGAAGTTTTTAAAATTCTAAAAAAATATGACTTCAATCAAAGTAATAAAAATATCATTTTATAATGATTAATATATTAATAATATATTAATAAATAAAAAGTTTATTTTAGTAAAATTAACGTAAAACATAATAGTATATTCTGTAACAAGTTTGGAATACAGCATATTCCGTTCGAGTGAAGATTTTGTCTCACGAGCCGAAGGCGAGTTTGACGGTTTCACGAGACCGGAATATGCAATTCCAAACGTGTTTCAGACTATACTTTTTCTACGTTTCCAAAAAATACCATAGAAAAATAATTTAATTTGAAGAAAGTGAGGTTGGATCGGTCTAAAATTTGTTAGATATTAAAAACAGAGATGTCGCCACGAGTGTTTATTCTGTAACACTTTACGGAATATGTCATTCCATAGATAAAAGTGATATTAGAAGGGTCAAATTCCGTAATAGGAGTAGACAAACATATTTAATGGTAAATCATAAGCTTTAAGTAACAGCACTCCTAGGAGTGTTTATTAGTAGAAATGAGATCTTTTTTCGCAAAAATATTGACATTTGGTATCAAAATTCGGTAATTCTTTTCTGGCTTTAATTCTTGTTCTGATGAAACCATCTCTTGCTTCCGATCCACAAACCGAGAATGAAGATTCAGTATACTGGTTATAACCAGTTTTACACAGAGTTTCACTGCTTGGGTGTGATAAGGAAATTTTTGGAAGGATAAGAAATGGTCACCCGAAGAAATCATATTGGTAATTTCTGTCATCGTATTTCATAGTTATAGGTGGTTCAGTTACCTTTTCTTTCGCTCAGAGAATTAAATCGTAAAAATGTAATGCTTCAGTGTTTAGTTGTGGAAGCTTTAATTCTTGTAATCTCGAACATTTTGATTCTTTTCTCGACTTTAATATTTTCCGCAATGCTAGTTCTCTGCTCGATAGATATCTTGTAGGTAACATAGCAAGTAATAGGTTTTCGGGATGTACATTAATGTAAATTTCGCTGAATATTCTTTATAACTATAGTTATAAGGCATTTAAGTTTTTCTGGAGGTTTAATGCTCTTTTATAACTATAGTTATATTAAATAAGTGAATAGGACCATGTTTGCACGTAGGATTGGTTTTGATGTAAAACCACGTTGGGCATACACTTTTATGATAAAAGTAGCCAATTCTTTTAGGTTTGCCGATGGATTTGCTGTCCCCACACATAAACGAATAATCCTATTAGCACACGTGTGCTACGTACGTCAGCCATAGGAAATGTGCTAGCTTTCCTGGATCTTTGTTAGCTTTAGCTAACAAAGATCCTTATAAGGAAGTGGGAATTGTACCTTCAGATATCGTTGAGCAAATTTGGTAGAAATTTTTTTGATCCGTGCTCAACAAACTAGCATCAATTTCGGGCAATTTTATGTCGATTACTTCAAAATCACCTGAAAAACTTTTCGGCCCTGTTGTTGAGGTATGTGAAGTACACATAAACTACTGTAGAGGGTGACCAAGTTATTTTTCCAGTAAAACGATGTCCTCTATTTACCGCGGTACCATCACATCCTATTGCAACCAAATTTTTTATATCATTATATGTCCGCAACATGTTTTGAAATTTTTTTTGTGGTTCACCTAATACAGGACATCGCTAATCTTTACGAGTTTTAGGCATTTTGCAACCGCTTGATTATTAAGTCGGTATACAAAAATTATTTATTGATTGATAGAGACGCGGTGAGCGCCTCTATCGGATGGGAGTATAACTAATATAACATTGACATGACAAAAAGGTCAATATTGGTTTTAATCTATTGACATTTAATTATCTGTATATTCATAAAAATCCGCGCCTAAAATAGAATTTGTTTTTTTTCTTGCTGCGTGCACCACCAAAAGATAAAGTGGTCAACAATAAATAATACAGGAAAGAAGAAATACGAATAAAAAAATGTTTCCGACCTTTTTACTCCACCCTACTGTTTAAAGTCGGTGAGCCTAATTCCTGTATAAACTAATTAGCATAGAAAAAGTACTAGAGAAGCTAGGTCTCTATAGAGACCTCGCAACTGTTGTAAGTCATTCGACGTTACTCGGCAATATTTTTTTATTTTTAAAACAATTTACCTTTCCATTACGAGCTCGTCTCTGTCGCAGGCCCTGAGCACTGTTGTAGGCCCAGGGCACAGTGCCCATAGTTTCCTATGGATAATACGGCCCTTCACACTAGGCGTTTTTTGAAACCAACACTCAGGTAACTGAACCTGGCGTTCGTTTACTTTCTTGATCTCGCTTAAAAGATAAAATAGATAACACCCTGTAGTATCATGCTATGTGCACAATATCGTATTCTCAAAATTTGACATAGTAGTAGTAGTAGTAGTAGCACGGTTGGGTAGGCTCGAAGCCTGACAATTAGACTCTATGGTCCTTTTTATCTGCCCCTCCTAAACCAACCAAACTACTCCTCATCCTCCTCTTCGCCCATACCAGCCCTTTCGAATCTTCCAGACCTTCTTATAAAGGTCAGGATATCCTGCCAGGCAAGAGAGGCCAACTCTTCCCTTTGGAGTGTCATCACTCCAAACATTTTATACCTTAGTCTGCCGAGAGCCTTACATTGTCCCAGGAAGTGAAAGGAGGTTTCATCCTCCCTTCCGCATTAGGTACAGGAGGGGCTGGTTTCAGCCCCTATTCTCGTGAGGTGTTTCCTTAGGCCATGACCCGTGAGTATGTTCACAAGTGGGCCCAAGGAGGTTCGGCTCCTACCTAGAAGCCAGATGGATTTGGGTTTGCTGAGGGTGACCAGGAAATCCCTGGTCTGCCTACAGCCACCGCTTCTTCTCCAGCTTTCGTTCGCCCTTTTATCAGCCCAATTATTTAGGGCTGATTTGACCTGCTTTCTCGTAATTCCAAAAATTGGTTCGGGTCCTACACAGGGGGTTTCAGATCCCAATCTGGCCAACTCATCAGCCCGTTCGTTACCTTCCACCCCACTATGACCTGGTACCCATACGAGATGCACTCTTTTTGTACTTGCTAGCTTTTCCAGCGCTTCCTCACACTCTTGAACCAACTTCGATGTGGTTCTCGCTGCCCAAAGCGCTTTCAGAGCTGCTTGGCTACCTGAGCAGATGTATATATCTGTCTCACTCCCTGTTCTTATATTCTCACAGTTTGCAACCTCAAGTATGGCAAACACTTCCGCTTGAAAGACAGTGGTATATCCTCCGAGCGGGTAGCTCCTTTGGATATCCCTGTCTTCCACGTAGAAACCTGCCCCTAAAGACAGTGTACTCGCCATACGAGAGCAGTGTAGCACACTAGTGCATTTTGTGTAAAGTGTACATCCTTTTTCTCCCACTGCTCTCTTGTTGGTATCGTGAGGGAAAACTTCTTTTTTAAACTTAAGCGGTCTTTTGCTGGCATCGTTCTAATACTGCTAATCTGGACCTCCCTCTCAGCCATATCCGCGATGCCCTCATGACCATGAGTTATTCCTTTTCCTAACCAATTATTGGCATCCCTCATCCTTAAATGGCTCGCCATTGCTTCTCTCTTTATCCAGAGGGAAAGACTAGGCAAACTCAGCAAGGCCTCTAATGCCGTCGTTGGAGTAGTCCTCATTGCGCCTGTGATACCGAGACATGCCAGTCTCTGTATCTTGCTCAGTTTTTGAGCGATGGTGGTTTTGCTCACACTGCGTCACCAGACCACTGATCCATAATGTATCCGCGGTCTGATGACAGCAGTATAAATCCAGTGAAGGACTTTGGGATTTAATCCCCAGCGTTTTTCCACCACCCGGCGCAGCTGCCAGAAAGTTGCAATCGATTTGTCAACAACTTTGTCGACGTGTGATTTCCAACTTAACTTCCTATCTAGGGTAACACCTAGGTACTTGACCTCTTCAGTAATCTCAAGAGGTCTTCCATACATAGCTGGTGCCCTGAAGTCCTGTATCTTCCTTCGTTTGGTAAAAAGAATCATGTCAGTTTTTGTTGGGTTAACCGACAGACCGTTTTCTTTGCACCAATTTTCTATTATTCTGCATGCTGTCTGCATTCTGTCGCAGACTACACCTAGATGCCTCCTCTGATTAGGACTGTACCATCATCTGCATATGCTTGTGCATACAGCCCTTCAGCCGTCAGTCTCTCCAGAAGTCCATCCATTATTAAACACCATAGGTGGGGTGATAGGCAGCCGCCTTGTGGGCAGCCGCCCCTCACACCGATGTCCAAATGGCAGTCTCCCAGAGATGCACTGACCTGCCTCTCCTCCAGTGAGGATTTAACCCAACTAACCAGGACTTGGGGAGTGCCGCTTCACAGATTGTAGATGTCCTCGCCTTATCAAAAGCCCCCTCTACATCAAAGAAAACAGCTAGTGCCATTTCCTTGTATTGCAGTGCCTTTTCGACTCTATGCACTATAGAATGAAGAGCCGTTTCGGTCGACCTTCCATTTCTATAGGCATGTTGATTCTTATGGAATGGGTGCCTTTTCAGCACCCCTTCTTGCAGGTACCGGTCCACAATCCTTTCTAATGTTTTAAAAAGAAAGGATGTTAGGCTTATTGGCCTGAAGGACTTTGGAGCCGAGTAGTCTTTTTTCCCTGCTTTGGGTATGAAGACTTTAGCTGCCCTC